ATATGAAAGATAATATGCTGTGTTTTGTGTTTATATTTAAAGAAAACTGACTATAATTTTATTAAAATTAAAAGTGATGATAATTGTAGGCTGCAAATGTAATACATAGATGCACCTTTTGAAAGTAACATTTTGCACAATGTGATTGTTCAAACACTGACTTTTTTTTGTTTCTTATTGATTGTGTGGGTTKTAATTTTTTGCAAACACTTACACTCTTCTGCTCAATTCTGTGCAGCGTTATTGCCCGGGAGCTGCGTTTTTCTCGTGCAATGATCTTTGCTATTGAGCAGGTAAACAACAGCACAGAGCTGCTGCCAGGCATCAAACTTGGATATCAGATCTATGACTCTTGTGCTTCAGTACCTGTAGCTGTGCGTGTGGCATTTCAACTAGCAAATGGCCAGGACCCTGTGTTTTACAAAGACAACTGTTCCCAATCTGATGTGATAGCTGTTGTTGGGGAGTCTGGATCCACGCAATCTGTCAGTATATCGCGCATCATCGGAGCCTTCCATATTCCTCAAGTAATTTTCAAAATTACATTGTAAAAGAAAATTTTTAAATCTACCTGCTTATGATGAAGTTGTTTTCTTTTTAAGGTTAAAGAGGTATGATGACTTTTTCTTTTTTAGGTGAGCCACTTTGCCACCTGTGCCTGTCTGTCAGATAAGCAGCAGTTTCCAACATTTTTCAGAACAATTCCCAGTGATCAGTTCCAAGCTGATGCTCTGGCCAAGCTGGTGAAACACTTTGGCTGGACTTGGATTGGTGCTGTTCGCTCTGACTCAGATTATGGAAATTATGGCATGGCATCTTTTCTTCAGGCAGCACAGAGAGAGGGGATCTGTGTGGAGTACTCTGAAGCCTTCTATCGGACTGATCCCTATAATAAAATTCAGAGAGTAGCAAATGTCATCCGCAGGTTTTTACGTTAGACATTTTGCTCTTTTTTTCAATATTACTATGAACCATCTGAAAAAAAAAAAACAATTAAACTATTTTAGTGTAGAGATTAGGAATGAAGATAAATAAAATTGTATAAAGTTCTGTATGTTTTTCTTCCACCAAAGAGATTAAAAAAAGAAAGTTTAATGTTTGAACAATCATATCCAATGTTAGTTGTGTTTTTTTTTTTTGCTATTTTTGTCATGTCTAAATCATAGACTAAACTCTACAAAACTTACAAATTTTATGCCAAAACTGTGGTATAGGTTAGTAAAAGTTACATGTTCTAATGTCTCTCCAGGTCAACAGCAGTGGTTGTCGTGGCTTTTACAGCCGCTGGAGACATGAAGGTTCTGTTACAGGAGCTGGCTCGGGAACCTTCACCAACTCGTCAGTGGATAGGAAGTGAGTCCTGGGTAACTGACCCAAATTTGATGAGCTTCAGTTTCTGTGCAGGGGCCATCGGAGTTGCCATTCAACAGTCTGTAATCCCCGGCCTTAAACAGTTTCTGCTGGATCTCTCCCTAACTGAAGTGGCAGCCTCCTCAGTTCTTACAGAGTTCTGGGAGGATGCTTTTAACTGCACACTGGCAAAATGTGAGGTTTTATTTAGTGTTTTTAATTTTCTTTCTTTTTAAAATTTCTCATAAGTATTTTGATTTCATTTGCTTTAATTATAATTGTTTTTTTTTTCATGAAGAGACATGCCAACATAAATGTTACACTGCTAAAGACTCATGTTACGTTCACACATGAACAAACAATCAGATCTGTTTATTAGGTTGAATTGCTGGCTTAGTAACATGTTTAGAACAATAGCTTTGTGTGTAGAAAGACCTATAATAATTACCAAATTATATTTGACAAAATTACCTTACACATCTTCCTTTATTTGTTTTTAGATGCTAATACCTACAAGGCAATGTGTGATGGAACAYAAGACATGAAAATGCTCATAAACCCGTARACTGAAACATCTCAGCTAAGAATCACTAACATGGTGTACAAGGCTGTTTATGCAGTAGCTCATGCCATTCACAATGCAGTGTGTGAGGAAACTAATGATACCACTCAGTGTGACAAACACACAGGACTGGAGTCTAAACAGGTTATTGCAAATCAAGTATGTATTGATCTTTTGTAAAGACTAACAACATAGTTTACTTCTTCTTGTTATAGGTGTTATCTAAACTGAGAAAAGTCAACTTTTCGATAAATGGTTATCCCGTGTCATTTGATGTTAATGGAGATCCTGTGGCTTTTTATGAACTGGTCAACTGGCAGAAGAGTAAAACTGGAGGTACTGAGCTTGTGCAAGTAGGATTTTATGATGCATCACTGCCAAAAGGCCAGGAGTTCCAAATCAATAAAAATATAACCTGGGTGGAGGACAGAACACAAGTAAAAAGTCTAATGACAAACAATTACACTATGAACATAGAYTAAACTGCTTCATGACAACAATTCTCATTTTTATCTGACTTTATAACAGGTTCCAGTGTCAGTGTGCTCTGAGAGTTGTCCTCCAGGAACTCGTAAAGTGTTGCAGAAAGGAAAACCCATCTGCTGCTATGATTGTATACCATGTCCTGAAGGAGAGATCAGTAACATGACAGGTAACATCAGATGCTTTCTATTCATATTTACATGCATTTGAATGCTAATAACCCTTTTTGTTCTTGTGGGGTTTTTTTCTGTAGATTCTCCTGATTGTTTTCCATGTCTAAGTGAATTCTGGCCTAAAGTGGAAAGAAATGCTTGTTTRCCCAAACCTGTTGAGTTTCTGTCTTTTGATGAAGTCCTGGCAATCATCCTGGCTGCATTTTCTATTTTTGGAGCCTGTCTGTCCTTCATAACAGCAGCTATTTTCTTACGTCACAGAACAACTCCAGTTGTTAAAGCCAACAACTCTGAGCTGAGCTTCTTGCTGCTCTTCTCTCTGACTCTGTGTTTCTTATGTTCATTAAC